CACTAGTAACACGTCATGATATTCTCGAAGGTTCTTGAATGCTCGAGTGTTTACTAGATGTGCTGTATTCTTGTATATAAGACCACAAAGAAGTGACGGCAACAATGGAAATTGAATTGCAGACAGAGATAAAGACGGACAATTGAGTCAAGCGCGTGAATCGTCCGTTGTGAATTATGGCGTTTGTTTAGTTATAGCGTGACTGTGGAACTTAAGTGTATTGCAAAGTTGTATTGAGAAAGAATAAACTAGTTATATTTAAGAAAGGAATTGTATCGCTAAAGTTTCTTCGGAAAGAATTTTTACGGAAAATTAACAAACGAACACAGAGGCGTAACAATATGTTAACCACGCTATATCCGCCGACGCGGTATTTCGTACAATACCAGGGCTCTTCTAAATGGCTGGGATAAGACAGTCGTTGTATATTTGTTGAATTTCGCGCAAAACTACTCAAGAACTATCTGTGTTAGCAGTCCCTAACTTAGAAGTGATAAGCTAGAAAGAAGGCAGCTAGTCAACAACACCCACCGCCAACTCTTGGGATACTCTTTACCAAAGATGAAACCGAATAAAGTTAGTGAAATGTAATTTTTAATCAGTTTTATTTATGTCACAACACACAAGAAATAGGGTAAGCATTTTTAACACTATACATATTATCTATTGATATTAACACCATATATATATATATATATGTTATTTTCGTGAATTAACCTGGTCATTATTAAGAAAAACTGGCGAACCGGCAAGCTAATTTTCTTAACGCTACTGTGTTAAACAGTTAAATGTTTGTCTAAATCTGGCTAGTAAGGTGGGATGTTAAAAACTATGTTAAAGAAAACATTGTATTAATGAGAAGTTTGTGTTTAAAAGTAACCACTGTGATGTGTTATGTTAAACAAACAATTGTGTTCACTGTAAGGTGTGGTGTTAAAAACTATGTTAAAAAAACTATTTTGTTAATGAGGTGTTTATTTCTAAAAGTAGCTTCTGTAAGGTGTTATATTAAGTAAAGTATTGTGTTAATAAGATATTTACGTCTAAAAGTGGCCACTGTAAGTTATGTTAAAGAAGCTAGTGTGTTAATGAGATTGTCAAATGTTATGTTCGTCAATTGTCAATTAAAGGCATTTACTTATACTTATTAATAGTATAAATATATACTGTGTTGTTGTCGGGATTAGGATTCTTCTACAGTAGATGTCTGTGACTTGTTGACGATAAATTCAACGATAAATGAACAGCACGCACTTCACTTGTTTTCAGTATAATATATATTTTCGGAACAAATTCTTTACACTATAGAGACAATAGGAATATCAGAAACACTATATGGTTCTCTTCTTCTTGTCAAAAGACTATTGAGGCCTATTCAATTACTTTAGAATTTCAATTGACAAGCCGAACTATATTTCCATATTTCTATCGCACTAGTATTCTGTGTATAATTCACTTACAAATGTG